GAGGAGAGAAACGAGGTCTCCATTTTATGAGCATTTGAAGGATTGTGATGTAACAACGACCTCCTGTGGTCAGATGTGGGTATTGCAGGCCATGCATCAAAACAAATGTGGTGAGGGACTCCCACTTACGAGGGTTTTACGGCTGCTTCCAGATCCGCGCCTAAAGATTCACGATGAGCAATGAAGACGAGTCATGCGCCGTAAGTTGGTTAGAAGATAAAAACATCTCCCTGTAACATCCAGCAGTTGGTCATTTAAAAAGTGGTTTCAGATTATTTTAGAGTTAGCATTGTTAGCTCAACATTAGCATCTAGCCTTCTTTACCCAATATTAGAGTAAAACAAAAGGATGTTCTTGGAAGTACAATAAATAGCCTCTGCTAACTGGTTACATGCTGTCCACAACCGAGCTGCTTTTGGCCGGCGGGTGTCGAGTTACCAACACCAGACTTGGCAACCCCACGGGCTCGTTGGTTTCAAACGGAAGCTACGTCTTTTAAAAAGAGGAAAACTACCAACCCCCTCCAGCTGGCTGAGAAGGATATCTGTCCCAGCACGACCTTCCTCTCAGCACGACTGAGACATCAGGCTGTTCTGTGATTATTTCACTGTAAAATACTTACTTATTGTACCTTTAAGTTACGATGTGCATTTGGCAGCTATCAGATGCTATCAGAAAATTCAAGAGGCTAGTCGAGTCTTTCAGCTCTTTTATTGTGAAAATGAGCATCTAAAACCTTTGGTTAAACAAGTAAAAGAGGGTTATAAAGTAAAATACCATCATGGTTTCAGCGACTAGCGCGCTAAAGACTAGCCACCCTGGTTTCCCTTCATCACATCTGAACTAAATGTTCCCTCAGCACTCTGACAGAATTTCTGATGAAGTCTCACTTCAGATGTCGGTTGTGGAGGCTTAAATCACCCAGTTCTCTCTCTCTCTCCCAGCAGTCTGAAATCCAGTTTTAACTGGTAACGTTTAAACTGTTAAAGCGACCGTAGAGATTGTAGCAACAGTTAAACTAATGAAGCTTTTTCTGCTTTTGACTCACTTTATTACCTCCAATCAACATCTGGATTGGGAACTAATTCACAGGACAAAGTTCGATAAACAGAGACAATTTTAAAATTTCTTACTTTACACCGAGAAAAAAGCCATGAAACAAATTTTTATTGCATTTTCGTGTTTCTGGGGCGATAAGAAGCATAACGTATTACAAGGCTGACGTAAAACTTATGAGTGATTGATATTGAAAACGTTAGGAGCCTTTTTTTCATGCATCTCCAGTTTTTCTGGTGGCCTCTGCGCCTGCCTTCAGGAACGCCAACGCTCCACCAGGCCGGCCTGTCTGAGAGACGTTTGGTGTGTTCTCGCTGTGTTGAAATTCTAATTCCATCTTTTAGTTCCTTTTAAAAGACAGAAAGGTTTTATTTACCTGCAACGTGTCGTTAGCTAGCTTCATGCAGGAGCTCTCTTAAGTGTTGGGACCTTTAGGTTAAAGGAAAATAGTAAAAGTTGCTCGTGGTGTCTGAGTTGTTTGCTAACTTTAATCCTTTTTTATTTTTTTATGTGAGGGGGTGTTTCAAACGGCAGCCTGACCTCTCCAGCACCAGGAGCCGGCTCTGCCCTGATGCACCAACCTCACCTCTCCTCCCTCCTCCTGCAGGCTGCCGAGGGAACAGCTGATCTCGCTCCAGCTGATTATCAGACCTGGATGAAACGGAGAGTCTGCCAGCAGTCCAGGCGACAACAGGGAAAGACAACGGAGTGACCGGCAGACAACAGATTTGGGGTTTTTCTGTTGATCTTACTTGGACTTGAGTTAATGTCTTTGATTGTTAACCTCGTTAACTCGTGGATCCTTGGGTGATCCTTTAGAGATTTAACCTCGTTAACTCGTGGATCCTTGGGTGATCCTTTAGAGATTTAACCTCGTTAACTCGTGGATCCTTGGGTGATCCTTTAGAGATTTAACCTCGTTAACTCGTGGATCCTCGGGTGATCCTTTAGAGATTTAACCTCGTTAACTCGTGGATCCTTGGGTGATCCTTTAGAGATTTAACCTCGTTAACTCGTGGATCCTTGGGTGATCCTTTAGAGATTTAAGCTCGTTAACTCGTGGATCCTTGGGTGATCCTTTAGAGATTTAAGCTCGTTAACTCGTGGATCCTTGGGTGATCCTTTAGAGATTTAACCTCGTTAACTCGTGGATCCTTGGGTGATCCTTTAGAGATTTAAGCTCGTTAACTCGTGGATCCTTGGGTGATCCTTTAGAGATTTAAGCTCGTTAACTCGTGGATACTTGGGTGATCCTTTAGAGATTTAAGCTCGTTAACTCGTGGATCCTTGGGTGATCCTTTAGAGATTTAACCTCGTTAACTCGTGGATCCTTGGGTGATCCTTTAGAGATTTAAGCTCGTTAACTCGTGGATCCTTGGGTGATCCTTTAGAGATTTAACCTCGTTAACTCGTGGATCCTTGGGTGATCCTTTAGAGATTTAACCTCGTTAACTTGTGGATCCTTGGGTGATCCTTTAGAGATGACGTTGTTCTCCAGACCCTTCCGGTCTCATAGAAAAGGGAGAAGGAACTACATTTGGTTAAGCACCCTTACTGTTTCTGGTCACCAGTAATTAACTTGACGGCATTTTTCGTTGAGTTTTTCCTCTTGAGTTAACTTGACTGCTGAAAGCTCGGATTGTAGCAACAAAAAAAAAAGCCATGGGTCACCTTTTTTGGTAACGCTTCCTTTTACAGTCCCTAATTACTAAGTACTTACATGGTAATTACATAGTAAGTTAACGTGTATTATTGTTTCTGAGTTCTTAAACAATTATTACCATATAACGCAGGTTCAATTCTAATTTTTATTTCATCAATCATTCCCAGTAAATACTGCTTTACACAATAATTACACTTTTTTACAGTTATACACTTTAATTACACAATAATACACTTTAGCTTACTATGTAATTACCATGTAAGTACTTAGTAATTAGGGGACTGTAAAAGGAAGTGTTACCAATCTAGATTTAGAGTCTACATTGTTCCTAGTGTTGATTAAAGAAAGCAGCTGATAAGATGCCCTTCGGACTGAGGCGTTTCCTCCGTGTCCTTTGTTAATAAACTTTAAGTTTTGGCATTTTGTTCATTTTAACTGAAGTATTTTTGGTTAACAATAGACGTCGCTTGAAACGTGCTCCTTTAGTCATTTTGAGTAAGATACCTCGGTTACCTTTTTACACAACATAAATAAAACACTTTAATTATAACAACAAAACTTCCTGCAATCATTTGTAGGTCAACCCTCCTCCACACACACAATCATCAGTCGGGTTGAGACTCAAAAACCTTTTTTTCCTGATGATTAAAGTTTTTATTTTCCGTTATTATTGATGTAGACATCTAGAACCAGGAAGACCAGCAGCAGTCATATTTAGCTAGAACTAATAACTTCTAGGAGGAACGTAAGACGGGAAGCAATCTGCTGCTTTGACTCACCTAACTCCACCAGTCCAAACATGGGTTCCTCCCAGGAGCAGTCTTGGTCGGAGCACTTCTCTGAGAAGCTTGAGGTGAAGCTACAGTTTCCTCCTTCACAGCCGCCACTCGTGCGTCCCGAGTCCCTCAGATCCATGCTGACGCCAGGTGGGGCAGAGCAGTGAGCGGAGCGCTGTGGGTGCCCCAGGTTACAAGGTTTAGAGGTGACGCACGCACATAGATTTCCTATGATGCTCAGTAACCACAGCGAGGAAGAGGATGGTGAAGGTGGAGAGGTGCTGTCTGTTCAAAACACAATGTTTACCAGATCAAACCCTTAGAGTCCACAAACCAGTCATGAATTACAACAAAAATACAAACCATGCATGTTCTGTCTTTACTGATTTCCTGGTGACGTGTTTAAAAACGAGAAAGGACATCCGCATCTCCCAAAAAAACATCTTCAGTGGGTTCAGGACGAAATATGTAACATGTGCAATAATTAAATAGAGTTTTGGGTCGACAGAGTCACTATCTACAAGTCACATGACCCCATGACAAACACATGACCTCTACCATCACTGAAATACGTAGAAATACACCTGTGACTGTACGACGCCACACACACCCTTTGTTCCTAATTCAAACAGAGGTCACAGAAAAAACCAGACTTCAAATGCAGCTGCACCAGATGTCAAACCGATCATGGAGCGAGTCAGAAAAGGAAATAACTTGTAGAAATGATCTTTTTTACAGAAACAGTTCATGCTTTAACTCCCTGAAACCAGATGCACGTCTGTTGCTTTTGTTCCTAAAAATATGTAAAAACTAAACAAACCTTAATTAGTTCATTCGTTTGAGAAGAAATCCGGTCAGTCGAGCTCATTTAGTAGCAAGCTCTTTTCATTCAGGGGAGAGGTTCTCAGGAGGCATGTGTGAGTGTAAATATAATAATATATACTAAATAATATTATCTGTTGAAGATGCAAGTTCAAGGGGTCGAGTGTTTATTTGAATGAAAAATGAACAAATGAGAACGCAGAAATAGCAAAAAGTACGGATGTAAGAAAATATCAGTGTGGCAACATATCGTGATGTATTTTCCTGCTAAATTATATCGATATTCAAAAGCTGTGCATCTAATTTTGGGAAGAAATTGCATTCAAACATTTATGTATTTTTTCTTTTGGTGAACTTCAAACGCCACTAGAGGGCAGCAGTGTGCAGTGGGTTTTGTTTCCACCACTGAAACGTAGACCCCTCCAATACCTCATGTTAAACATGTTCAGTATCAGTTTAGACTGTTTTTGGAATATTTCTACAATAAATTCAGTTTTAAAAATTGCTAATAACGTCTGACTGAAGGCATCGCTGCATCATGATATATCGTCTTTCCTGTATCGCGATACGTATCGTATCACCACAATGTCACCATTTCACATCCCTAGACAACAATTCAATAAAAGCAAGATATTAAAGAAACAACAAAAAGGTCAGGCACACAGTCACGAGGGTTTCAAAAAGCTGACTTTTATCGAGCTCAGCGGCGTCCGAGGAGGGCAAGATCCTCACAGTGAGACATTCGGGCGAATTAGACAAGAATGGGTTAAATCAGGGATCTATGAAGGTAAAACTCTACCCTCGTGATTACTGATCCACAAATGTTAAACCAAACGTCGGACCATCGTCAAGAGTCTGTTGGCTCTGAAAGCTTCTGAATACACCGAGGACAACGACCACGATACGGAGAAGATCCTGATCCTGAACAGAAAGGTTTCTCCTCTACTCTTGTTAACAGTGAGTCTTTATCACTAGTGGACAACTGTCCATTTACTTCAATGGCATAAGTATGTGTTCTTATTACAATGAAAAACAAGTTTATCTCATCATCCTTTTGGTGGAAAGCAACGCCTGAACTATGGAGACAAAAGGTTTTACTTTTAAACAGACGATTAGGAGCTAAATTAGACTCACAGACAACACCTGGTGGCGGCGTTCCTGAGTGCTGGATGGTACGCCGGCTTTCCTGGACGGTCTGATGGAATGCTTTTGAACTAAAGATGGCCTGAATCAAGTGTACAGGTGCTGGCCAGTAAATTAGAATATCATCAAAAGGTTGAAAATATTTCAGTAATTCCATTCAAAACGTGAAACTTGTACATTATATTCATGCAATGCACACAGACCAATGTATTTCCAATGTTCATTACATTTAAATTTGATATTCATAAGTGACAACTAATGAAAACTCCAAATTTGGTATCTCAAAAAATTAGAATATTCTGAAAAGGCTGAATATAGAAGACACCTGCTGCCACTCTAATCAGCTGATTTACTCAAAACACCTGCAAAGGCCTTTAAAAGGTCCCTCAGTCTTGTTTTGAAGGCACCACAATCATGGGGAAGACTTCTGACTTAACAGCTGTCCAAAAGACAATCATTGACACCTTGCACAAGGAGGGCAAGACACAAAAGGTGATTGCTAAAGAAGCTGGCTGTTCGCAGAGCTCTGTGTCCAAGCACATTAACAGACAGGCGAAGGGACGGAAAAAATGTGGTAGAAAAAAGTGTACAAGCTCTAGGGATAACCGCACCCTGCAGAGAATTGTGACGACAAACCCATTCAAAAATGTGGGGGAGATCCACAAAGAGTGGACTGCAGCTGGAGTCAGCGCTTCAAGAACCACCACGAGGAGACTCATGAAAGACATGGGATTCAGGTGTCGCATT